GATGACGAGGAGAAAAAGAAGTGTATTCTGCGCCTAATTTCGTAAATTTCCGTTTCAGATGTCCTTTTTTTGTCAGGTTTAAAAAAAATATAGGAATATTTCCACTTCTTTGAAAGGAAGAGTAATACCTAATAGTGGGGAGAGCAAAAAGAGAACAGGGAGACATACGTTAAATATAAAATTTTGGCAACAACGAAGAAAGTTGTATAATTGCTGTTAAAGAAAAGCAGATTGCTGGCACTTCTGTATTACGCTAAATTTCGATGGAACAACCGAAGAAGAAAAGTTTAAAAGTGAGTTATATCAGTAATTTTAAAATGCAGTGAAGTCTGAAGTCTTTTTCAGAGAACCCTCTCTTTTAGAAACTAAAAATGTTACGCAGATGACAAATACTTTAATATTAATGCTTTATTTTTATTCCCTTTGTGAAGAGGTGAAAAATGGAAAGTAAAGTATGACTCTCATTTTGAATACTGGTGTAAGTACGGGAACATTAAAGTAAAAGTAAAACTCCACTGGCGCAAGCTGGGTTGGCTCTGAGGTTATATTTCCTGTTCAGACCAAAGTTTTAAAAGCTCGCTTAACATTTGCATTTGAAGCAAATCTTCGCGAAAGGCCTTAAGAATTTCGAACTCCGAGAAGAAGCGTGGAGACTCTGCGCGAATTATGTTGGAGGAGTTTGGAAGGAAGTCTCTGCTAGCGATATTGTTATGACAGTTCCGCCGTATGTAATCAGAATCAATAGCATTTTCTGAATTTACTGATTATTTGGAAAGAATTATTTCTTTCGTCTAACAACTTTTCAGTAGCTGTTTGAACAATTTCATCTTCATTGTCTCCCTACCGAAAAAATTCCGGAAAATTGCTGCGGAACCCACTGTCGTCGTACTCAGAATTTATTTTTCTGAAGATGTTGATACATTATTGGCGGAGTCAGCTATAAGTGTATCTTTGTCACAAAGGTGTATTTCCTGTACCTTTCTTTCAGCAACCTTTTTCTTCAGAAAATCTTGAATTCCACTGGTAAAATTTTACGACCTCACGACACTTTGCCGTATTTACAAAGTAAAATTTTTGTTTCAGGGGAGTAGGGCCAACTGTTCTAGGGGTGTTTCGCGGAGGCAGGATTGAAGAATATATTCAGTCACGAATCATCACAAATAAGGAATTGTGCAACATTCAGTAATCTTTTAATTATATGCATGAATACCATAAATCGCAAAACAGAAATTGACCTCAGTATTTCCACCAGAAATTTCTAATATAAGCTAGAGCTATTGCTACTCCTGCAGTGTTGGGTACGAAGTGGGAAAAATTCTGGCTGCTGTCCACTCATTGAACGTTG